TATTATCTCAATTAACAAGATGAAATTCTTCTACTATGCACTTTATTCACACAATTTTTTGCATTTTCATTTTTTCTAAATTACTATTATATCGATCGTGACTAGACACTTGAGTACAAATCATTTTGGACCTTTATTAAATGATCTTTCTGATTTACAAATAACACAATTTTAAAGTATATAATATGTCGTAACAGATGCAAACGTTCACCATTTTTAACATATAACATTGTCAAATTCATTAATACATGCCTCATTTTGGCCTTTGTAAAGTATCTCAATAATTATGGACTTATAACTGTAGAGCCTGATGATGAAGTTATTGAAAACAATTGTTCGCTCAAATATTGGTCATTTTTCAATATTTATATGTTTAAATAAATAAATAAACTATCATCTATCATTTTCAACACTCAATTCACAAATGTCTTGTTCTTCAGTGTGCTCATATAATCTTAATTGACTTTTAACATTGATAAATTCTGTCACACAACGGCCCAAATCATATTTGATTCGTTTGTTAAATCATAGTTCATTACTCGAACACATCTGTAAATGGTTACCTCAGTAGTATGTTTGGAGTGCAAATTATTTTGTAATGCGCAATCTACTGTATACATCATCAATGCAAATTCTCATAATTCTTTTCGTTTAAAGTGAAGGTGGTAGTCAAGACGAATCTATAAACTAAGCAGTCTTCTCAAACTGGATCTAAGATATATTTTTCCCCGGAAACCTAAAAAATGGATTTACTAGAAGCTAGTAACAAAATCGGTTGGCTAATCATGTAAGCCAGTCGAACTTCCGATACTATTTGGAAAAAATGAAAAAGTTCCAAGCAGATTTCCTATTGATATATGTTAGAGAAACTGATTCGGAAATCTACCAAACATGATGTTAGTTATCTCGCAATCAATTTCTCGTATCGTATTAGAATTATAAAAAAGACATGAGGAGGGCTTTTTGATGTCCATTCATTTTTTCAGATACAGTTATAGCAACCATTCTACAATCACTTTCGTTTATAGCCAATTTTGGTTAAGCCCTTTTTTATAACTTACTTAACAGACATCGTCATTTGGATAGCAACAATTTGCATATTCTTTGCACTGCTATACCACTAGAGCACATGACACTCTAGCCGAAATGTTGACTGCTTAAATATCATTCGATGACTCATACTCCTCCCCATATATGTACGCACACAAATATTATTATCAGTCTTTGCTTTGCTGTGCCCTTATTAAATTTGACTATAAATTGCCTATGTAATTGCTTGCTATTCGCTCGATTGCTCCTCGTTCGTTTCCTTCGCTTGTTTGCCTGTTCACTCGCTCGTTATTATTCGCTCAGGTGTTGTTAACTTTCTGACCTGAGTTATTCGACAATAAACTGTAGTTGCTGCTATCCTTTGTCTTCTGATTTTACGCGCCGTTAAGTTTAGAATTGTAACGGTTATCGAAGTAAACGGTTAACGAATCGCGGCACTACACAGTATTTGCTCCTAGAATCTATATCAAAGCATTAAAATTGAGGGGTGTTTCTTTTTATTGTTCTGAATAATGCATGACTGCTACATATTTCATCTTTTATAACTACATTTTCCCTATTATAGTTCGTTTATATGACGTACAAACCTGTCGTTGCTATGTATCAGCCGTTCCAGAAGACCAACATCTTAGTGCAGTTAATATGGTGAGGTGGTCACCGAATGGAACTGCTTTTGTTACTGCTGGGATGGATGGCAGCTTCAAGATTTGGGATGGAGTTTCATGTAGATGTGTTAACACATTTGAAGCTGCACATGATGGTGCACCTGTGTGTTCTGTAGTTTTTTCACGTAATGGAAAAGTATGTTAAAAAGTTTGAATCTGCTTCCCTTTATATCTAAATTTGTATATCATTTTGGGGCAATATTTCAGTTTATTTCGCAAAAATACCTTGTGCATAAGCATTAACAGATTGTAATAAATAACATCATCAATATTCCTTAATTTGTTGAGTGATCGATCCATCGGTCACTACATACGATTCTTGTCAAATAGATTCCATTGATTATTTATCGGTTTATGCGAACCGATACTCCAATCTCAGTAAGTGAACCACCGGTAGCATAAGTGACAAATGCCACATGTAAATATGATACTCACCATATATTTAATTTACTATACTTCGAAAATACTCAGAAGTGTCAGTATGTGCAATTCTTTTGCTTGAACAATTGGATTTTTGTGAATGATTGGAATTTCTACAAAGTGATCAATACTTCATTCAAATTAACAATGAAAGAGAAGTGGTAGTCAATCATACACCTAAGAGAAATGCATTTGCTTACTTTAGAGTCTAGGACCTTCATCATTAATTCGTTTTCCGTGTTATTCAAAATGTTGAATGGTTATTTAAAGTTCCGCATTTCCTTCAAGTACCTACGCCTCCTAGTATTGCTTCTATGTCATATATAGGGTTACGAGTTCGTTTGCGTTATCCATACTGTTAAAAACATGCTAATAAAAAAGGTAGTTACGATTTTAGATATTCCTCTTAGGAAAAAGTGTACATTAGCTTTTCCAACTTCGTTGCGAAGTTTACTGAACATGTCTAAAAATCAACAGTTTTCCAAAACCTTTAAAATGTGCTTCACTACTGACCATCGCTATAAATCACGTATAATAAACAATACATTTTATCAAGCTTAGGGCATGTAGGCAACCTAGTTGATGTCCGCGTGGTTAGAGACTTTCAATAGCACAAAGTCGTTCGCAACGGCGCAAGTGCACCCACTCTTAGCCTTCCTTCAGATCCTAAGTTTCCTAATCTCTTATACATTCTTTTTGTTTATTTTTTGCTAGTTTATATTTTTCTCAAATCGTATTCTCAAAGCCTGATCTTTTCCACCACCACTGATACTGTTACTATCTCTACTACTCTGAGATTTGCCCTGACGATTTTATTTCTGTGTTAATGGGTTGTGTCAACTTGAATCAATGCATACATGTGCCAGGTTCTACGTTGCATTTGACTTACTGAATCATATATAAAGTTTCTATAAATGAACTTTATGAGATTTTTTGTATAGTGCAAATAAGTATTTTGACGTTGAAACCCACGTTAATATGTTGCTTCTAGTGGTGACACAAAATGAATCATTCTAACCACACTGCTGAATTAAGTCTGACCGTCGGAAAAACAACCAATCAAAATTTGTAGCAAGTATAAAATCGTTAGTTTTATATTGTAATCTACCCTACATTGGCCGGTTTTATTTCAGTTTTAGAGGCTTTCCAAGTTGAAAACAATACTCATTCTGATATAATTGTATCATTTTCCATTTGAAATAAAGAATTTACAGTGTACATGCTTCCATTTTTAGTATATCCTTAGTTCTGGTAAAGACAGTGCAGTTAAACTATGGGAATTAGCCACTGGACGATGTCTTATAACCTACACTGGAGCAGGCACAGTAGGACATCAAACACACAGATCAATGGCTGTCTTTAATCACACAGAAGATTATGGTAACGTGACCAACTAATACATACTGTATTTCTCATGTTTGGCTTCCAGTTGTTTTTTGATATTATTTAACTTTCTACGTTTTTGATGCTATTAATCCCTTTTTTCTGCTCTCATGCGCCAGCTTGAACCGAGATACATTTGTGACATATCCTACGTTAACTACAACTGACCGTTGCATTATGATGAAAAATACCAATGGATAATACAGAGGTTCATGTTATACTCATCCCGAATACCAGAGATAAGAGTCATGAAAGAACTTAAATACCATAAAATTAGTGGTGAAGTAGAGATACTTCATTTGCATGTAAAAGTGTTGAGGTTTACACGGCAACAATTACTACCATGACTTTTGTAATATGGTAGTGCTATATAGCTAACATATTCCTATTAGTTAATTTCCGTTGCAAAATACTACATTTACTGTGTTTCCCGACCTACTAGTTATTAAGTGACTGAAACCATGAGCTGTAATTAATCGTCCGAGAGACATTTCCCATCCGACGTCTACTTCAATAATCTACCCTTAGTAGTGGTATTCAATTCGTAAAAGCAATAATATTTACAAAGCGATTTCTATATATGTAAGAAATGCTTTGAAAACATCGAGTAAATTATTGTAACCCGCCTCTGAATGTTTTTTGCTTCCAGTAACTATGTTTGATATTTGCAGGTAAATTTAAAACAAAATCAGCTAGAACTTAGTTAGAGAAATAGATAATCTGAAATGATTTCATCAATGCCTACTTGTAGCCTTACCTAGAGAAGTCGTTTTTTTTAATGTGACTATTACCGCACTTATTTCAGCATTAATTCAATTATACAATGATATGTATTCTTTTTCTTTGTATAGTACTATTCCCAGACGAAGCAACAAAAAGCCTGTGTTGTTGGGACTCACGTAATGCTGACAGACAGCGTTTATTATCCCTTAGTAAGTTTATACGCATTGGCAATACAGTTTTTATTAAAATTTAGAAAATCTACTAATTTATAACGAATGTAAAAGTTTATTTATTATGAACGAATCATTACGTAAACTGTTTATCAGTTTACAATTAATTTGCTCTCGCGGCTTAAGGGTTATTTCAAAGCGACAGGAAAATCGTTTTAACCTTTCACTATTGTGTATCAAGCATACTAAAGACTTTGACAAACTACAGTGAAATACAAAGTAATAATTTATTTACATAAAACCTAGTTCATTTGCGCTATTATATTTATCACTAACTGTATTGGTTAAATGCTTTTACCTAATTTTTTTTCTCTGTACTAGATCATAACGGGCCAATCCGATGTTTTGTACATTCACCAACAACAGCGGCATTTATGTCCTGTAGTGATGATAATCGAGCAAGATTTTGGTATAAACGTCCTATATCAGACTGAAATTATTATCACCATAACATTGGACAGACTGCTTTATTTTGTACAAACCAAATTGTTTTATTATTAATTGTTTAAAAAGGAGAAATAAAGCATTGTTAATAGTTAAACTAACATTTTATTTAAATCAAGTAAATATTCTTTTGCATGACTGATGAATAAATAAATAAAACTAAACAGTCGAATTTGTGATTGATCACCTACTTTAAACTAACAATCAAATAATAATTAATGATCTGTTTATCTTCAATGTTAACCAGCTTGTCGGGTAATTTTTCTTGCTGATTCAACATTTAAAGGTAAATTGTATTTTTTCCATACCATACATAAAGAATCTACTAGTTCTTCAGTTAGTTTATCTGTATGATGCGGTGTGGGTGCAATACGTAAACGTTCATCTCCTATGTCTACAGTTGGGTAATTTATCGACTGCACATATATATTATGCTCGGATAATAGTTCTTCTGATATTTTCGTACATAGTTTTGCTTCACCGACCTATTGATATAGATAAATTATAAAAGTTATTCATAATAGTGTAAAAATCAAATAATTAGAATTGTGTACAGATTTCTATAAATGAAAGTGTTAAACATTAGCAAGTCATTATCGAATTTGGAGACTCTGTGTGACACGGCTCAGAATCGATCACAATGGCGTAGGTGTATACACTTTCTGTCTTCATTTAAACTATGAGATTAAAATTGCCTTATATCTTTCTTTTTTCTTGTACTATATCCTTATATGCAATCTTTTTTTTATATATTACCACTATTGAATTAACTACTTTTATGAATTCAGTGTTTATCTTGTTGTGCTAATGAGGTATGGCAACATGGACCGATGCATATATGTGCCTGGTCTACGTTGTAGCTGACTGACTGATATTATCGAATTTGCAGTCAATTAAATTGAAAAGTTCTTTAATATCTAACAAAAAATTAATGACACGACAGCGCGCTAGGCACTTGTTAATTATTTTGTCTTTATTTATTTATTTATTTAAACACATATATATTGGTACAAAAGGGCACCAGGTACATATGCGCCACACAAAATAATGAAAGTAGGAAGAGAAGGGATGAAAAGATAAGGCGGACTGAAATGTACAACCAGAAGACTCTTTCAAATAGGAAAGTAAGAACCATACTTTATGTAGAAAGTAAAAGAAGGTTGCAGCAGGATCGCCACTGGTTTCTATTCTGAGCCATATCTGATAACGTCTCTAGCCACTGTGTTGCACCATCTCTCGGACCCCAACCAAGGAGTCGTGAAGGACCAACAGAAGCTAGCCCTTTGCAGCTCTCTTTCATGCCACGACACCATGTCATACACTGACCTCCTCTCCGCTTTTTCCAACCAGTCCCAGGGTCGGCAAATAATGCACGACGTGGAAGTCTCTGGGACGACATTCGTAAAACATGTCCAAGCCACCGAAGTCGGTGTTTCAAGATGGTGACACCAATTGAATTATCGTCTCTGTGCCCGAACACACGATGCCGAACCTCTGCATTACTAACATGGTGTTGCCACTGGATGTCAGCAATCCTTCGGAGACAACGATGATCGAACACAGAGAGACGTCTAACATCCTCAACTCGGAGAGGCCAGGTTTCACAAGCATAGAGCAAAACTGCACTCACCGACGCGTTGTAGATCCGACCTTTTACAGCCAGACTAACATCACGAAGGCGCCAAAGATGGCCCAGATTGGCATAAGCCGATCTGGCTTTCCTTATACGTGCATCAATCTCATCACTCACGCCACCACCAGCACTTATATAGCTACCTAGATACACGAACTTCTCAACTACTTCGATCTGCTCACCATCCAGGGTGAGTACAGGATTAGAATCCTGCCAGTCTTGTAGAAGTACTTTGCACTTGGAGGGTGCAAAGCACATGCCGTACCTGCGGACACTGATTGCCAACTGATTAAGTGCTGATTGCATGCCTTGGGCATTATCGCACAGTAAGACAATATCATCCGCATACTCAAGGTCGAGAAGTCGTTCTCCAGGCAACATATCCACACCGCCATTACTTACATCCATCAGAGCTGTTTCCAGGATGTCGTCGATAGCAAAGTTGAAGAGGAATGGTGAGATCGGGCAACCCTGCCTAACCCCACTGCTCGAATGGAACAAGGGAGAAAGGTGGTTGTATGCCATCACTCTGCCTGAGGTGTTCGTATACAGGGCCTTTAAGATGTCAATGAACTTCTCAGGCACACCCTACTTCAATAGACAATCCCAGAGAACAGTCCTGTCCAACGAATCGAAGGTCGCCCTGATATCAAGAAACACTACGATTGTTGGCCTGCGATAAGTATGACGGTGTTCTAACATTTGGCGGAGGGTGAGGTTGTGATCAATGCATCCTCGACCAGAACGAAAACCAGCCTGCTCCTCGCGAGTCAATCGTTCTCGGGTTTTAAACAACCTACGAAGAATGACAGAAGCCAATAGTTTGGACGCAATCGAAAGTAGACTTATCCCCCGATAGTTATTGCAGGAACAACGTGAACCCTTTTTAAAGATAGGGACGACTATCGACTCATTCCATGATGTTGGAACACTTTCTTGCTCCCAAACCTTTCCAAACAACGCAGTCAGTTCCTTAGCCAGAAAGTCACCACCATCTTTAAAAAGAACCGGAGGTAAGTCATCTGGGCCAGGTGATTTATAACGTTTCAAGAGTTGGAGTTCCTTGCGGACTTCCGCCTCGTTTGGTGGATCAGTCGTCACCGGCCATGGGGGGCAGGACAAGCTGGTTGATGTTGCCGGAGCAGCAGGCCAGTTGAACTGCCCTTCGAAAAATTCCGCCCATCGTCCAAGACGTCGGGAGATGTTAGTGATTGGCATCCCATCATCCTCGTAGATTGTTTCACTCACACCAGACTTCTTGCTGCCAGTGGCTCGGATGAGTTGGAAGAGCTTCCGGCAGTTACCAGATGCAGCTGCTGCTTCCATCTCATTAGCATGCTCCGACCACCAGGCTTCCCGGTCCTTACGCAAGCTTTGCCCGATTTCATTACGTAACAGCCTTCGTTTGTGGTCAAACTCACGGTCACCCGGAGTAGACCGACGGGCTTCCATCAGTTGTAAGGAGCCAGAAGAAACCCAGTGCTTGTAAGCGGGACGTTTCGCGAAGCCGCAAGCGGCTTTACTCGCCATTTTCATGGCGTCGTGAAGATGCAACCAATGCTCATCTATACTTTTCGGTGGGGTGGTAGCTAGCCTAGAGCCTAGCTCCGCTCGATACTAACTTGCAACAGAAGTTGCAGCCAGTTTACTAACATCAATCCGTTGGTGGTGGTCAATCCTTCGGCCACTGAAAAGTAAGGTGAGATTGGCGCAGACCAGGGCATGATCAGACTCCAGATAGGTACTCCAAAAGGAGCGGCAGTCTTGTACACAACCACGCCAGCGGTAGCTGATCGCGATGTGATCAATCTGAGTCCAGGCTTGGGATGCAGAGGGAGGACGCCAGGTGGCACACCGGCGATGACTGTGCCGGAAGTTAGTGCTGGCCAGAAACAGGTTGTGGTCTGTGCACAGTTGCAGCAAACGGTCCCCGTTATCTGTCCGGCGACCAACAAGTCCCCATCGGCCACCTAGACGACTCTCTTCTGTGCCTAGACGCCCGACCTGTGCATTCAAGTCTCCGGCTAGTACTACAATATCTGTCAAACGCGCTTTCTGGAGAAGAACTGTTAACTGATGGTAAAACTCATCCTTGATTGCATCCGGGCTGCAATCTGTCGGGGCACAGGCGGAGATGACGAAAAGACACCGTTTCTCACGCCGGTTTCTTCTCAATTTGATGGAACTTTCTAATCTAACAGCACATAACCGACTGTTAATGGGGAACCAATAGATTAGTGCTGCCTCAGCCCTAGCGCTTAGTGCGACACCAACGCCAACAAGACCAGACGAAGATGCCACAGGGTCCCCGGATAAGCGCACGTGGAACAAGCTTTTCGAGGCGACAGATGGAGAGCGGATTTGTAGTACTTCACTAAAGTCTTGAATACGGGTCTCGGATAGACAGCAAACATCAACATTAAGACCTTCCAAAGACATAGCCAGCCCTATCTGTTGTCTGATATGCATTAGTGTGTGAACGTTGAAGGAAGCCAGCTTGAACGGCGTACGTGGTTTCAGAAAGACTGCTTCAGTATTCATTATCGCTGGAAGCATTCACTTTCAACCAGACAGTGACTGCAGATCGTTTAGATAGGACAGATTTTCCACCATAGGCGAGCTGCTGCATAAGTTGAAAAGTAAGGTTACACAAATTGGGGATAAAAGGGGGTGAATTAGCGATATGGTAAATAATAATAGTAATAATAATGATAATAATAACGTAAATTGTCTTGCTTATAATATGAGCAGGAATAGAATCGTCAATAGAGTTCGTCATTTCATTCATTTGTGTGTAGGCTGTGATACTGCCCGGGTGCCCAAACCGAAGCAGGTGGTTTTCTTAGGGGGCCACACCCGGAGCCTTTGACCTAAAGGTCTGATCCACAAGGCAGTGGAGCATCGTGAGGAGATGCAGTCCCATGGTAGTCGTTGACCAATGACAGGTTCTTCCGCCATTCGTTCCATCAGGAAACTGGAGCCCATGTGCACCATTGGTTTGGAATCAGGGTTTTCCAACTCCCCTAGGTGGACCCTCCGTGTCCACCAATCCGGTTATAGCGCCGGACATTCGCTTTTCGTCCTCTCACTTTCGTAAACAACACCCCCGCCACGAGAAGGCAGTGAGTAGGACTTCCCTGGCAGAGGCTATATATACGCTGGCCATATGAGAGCATTTCGAGAGGGAGAGTAGACTCTCCCCACTCTCGGCCGTACCAGGGCATTTGGGGGCTATTTGTCTTTCCTCCAGTATTATAGAATAACTGACGGTTAAAACCACTTTAGGTGAATCGTAAATTGAAACTATTACTCATTAGATAAATTCACATGCTTAAATCAATTCACTAGTTAAAATTCCTATTTTTCTAGTTTGATTTGAATCGGTAAGTAGATTTGTTAATTAGCACAGATTATGGATTGTTACAAATGAGTTCCATTAATTGTTATGTAATAACCTACTTACACTTGATAGATTAATTCTCACAAACTTAGGCTTGGTTAGTCAGATCAAAGTATTGATGAAACATAAGAATTATCAAATTAGAAAAATAAAAACTTACATGTAGCGGAATAATATGTGACGGCGCTTCAATCACAGGCAATCCTGCTTGACGGAGACTTTGGCGTACAATAGATACTCGTTTTTGGTGTTCTGTACGAAGTTCTTTTCCTTCAGGAGATTTCAAAATTTGAATACTTGCTTGCGCAGCAGCCAAGGAATGTGGTGGTAGTGAAGTAGTAAATATAAATCCGGAAGCATAAGATCGGATCATATCAACTAGTTCAGAACTTCCTGCTAAATAGCCTCCGATACTAGCGAAAGCCTGAGGATACGAAAATACACAATAAAACTAGCGATATTCATAAAATTACACATAACATTGATCTAGAAACACGTTGTGATGAACGTATTATTATGTAAAATGATAAAATTTATTAGCGAGTAATAGCGCCATAACCGAATAATCTTTTGATTTATTGTTGCCATGTACTTTTGCTGTCAATATGATAATGATGTGAATTAAACATGAAACGAAAAGATGGCCATTTCGTATGTGAACAAACTATAATATAAGTAGTAAATGATGAAAAAATTATTCAGTGAACTATTAAACTAGTTACCAGTGATATAAAACTTTTTATGACTTATGTACTGTTACTATACAATTAATATGAATCTCAATTCATAGATGGTATGTACATGCATCTCATACATGATGATATCAGATGACGTGCCCTGGAAAAAATTGATCTACCATCTTTTTCTAAAATCTCTCTGCAAGTTTAATGTTTGAGTATAAATGCAACAAGATTGTTTAAACTAGAGATATGTGAAAAGTACACATAACTTTATTATTTTTAATATAATTAACAAACCTTTCCAAGTGTACCCGTAATTGCATCTATCCTATGCATCTGACCATCACGTTCGGCAACTCCAGCTCCATGTGCACCGTATAAACCAACAGCATGAACTTCATCAACAAATGAGAGTGCTTTATTAGCTTCAGCAACATCTAATAAATTCTTCAATGGGCAAACATCACCTATGATTATAAAAATAAATTAGTTTTAGATCGTTAAGTATCACAGTCTGTAGGTGAATGAAAATTCGCTCGATAAATGTTAGGTAATAATGAAATCAATGTTAATAATATTTAAGTAAAACGGTAAGAGGTCGTATGGCATAAGAAAGGGTAGATAGGTTCTAAAACAAAATGTGGCTTAGGCGAAATATACACTATTGCTACATGAATCGGTTTCCAGACAGTATTTAGTGTAGACCCTAGTTGAGTGATTATTAGTAAATGAGACTTAGTGTTATACTTTCTCTTATTACGACCCAGCTATTCCTATTGCTTAGTATTCTTGGACACCAATTCACTCGACAAGTCCCCAAATCAGAACACGGTTAAACAGGAACGAGATTATATTCCAAATAACAAGGGTAGATGAAAGTAAGAAAAACGATAGTATATTTATAGTTTTTACATGAGGCGATTCTAGAGTCTTTTCCAAGTATCGACTAGCGCTGATTGGATAAGAAATAGCCAATCAGTGTGCACCAATACAATCGTGCATGGAACATGCTTTAATCCAATCTATGTCCCGCTAACATTTAGTCAATGAGTTGTGCTGCAAAGTCACGATATTGACCTTTTTTGGCCACAAACTGCTTATCGTACGAAGAGTTGGATAATAATAACTGCAGAATGTGACCAATCAACCCATATTAAGATGGGGAGGTCCGATGAGGAGAAACTTGAGCAGTTTGCAAGAATACCAGATACCACTACTTGCGATTACACCAACAAGTGATTTATTTAGAAATTCGTACATACCATCTGGAATGACACTCCAGTAGACAATGCTTTACAACACTCAGAAAGACTCAAAGCGGGATATCCGCCCGACTGCACTAGGTAATCCCTGATTTCTGGATGTTCGCTGTAAATGTTAAAAACGTGAAGTATTATATAGGAAAGACATTGGGTTAATGTTATAGTGGATCTTGATTGACCAAGTTAGATGCAATGTCTACATTTCCATCTATCGATTATTTCAACAGGATATAACTGTAGGAGTATGAATAAAATTTAAATGTGTTTGACTGAAAAGTAACATGAATCCTTGAAATTTTTATTGGTGGTGTGGGCCGCATAAGAGGACTTTCATTAGTATGACTTCATGACTCATTTTTAGTCAGATTAGGAACTTTACGTCTTACCTTAAAACCCACCAGTATCATAAACATGACTATTCTTTAAATTATTATGGCTAACAGACATTTATTTATCTCAGAATATTAATTTCTATGTGTCAAATGTTTTTCATTCCGCTTTAGTCTTAGTGACCTTATTAAAATAATTTTCCGATTTCAATTTATGAAATGGTAGGCCTGTTGGCCAAAGGCTTGAACTTTCAATCATCAGGCTATATATCGAAGCCCTGTGTGGTTTTTACTTCGGTTTGAGAAGCATGATAGTAATACCATTGATCCCCTTGTTACAAACAGTTTATTTCAAACTGAGTACGCGACGTTGTACCTGACAAATAAGTTACGTCAAACGTGTGACGTGTGGGAACTTGGAAATGATATACTACTTGACGAAATATTTTTCTTTTGTGTCCGATAGTCATCACGCCTATTACCGAAACATTATTATTGGACTATTTACAGGAACATAAGTCGATTAAAATGTAGGCATTTCTAATAATTTTATGTGTACTCTACTATTACAGAATAATCAGAGTGTAAAAAATATTTACTAATTGCCAAAGTCTCTTCAGAGAATATTTTGTAGCCAGTCTATATTAGACAGTACACTTTTAGAGTCGACCTTTTCTAACCCCACCTCTCTTTGTGGGAAGGCAGCATCGCTGTTATGCTGGTTGTCTGAAGGAAACACCTTACTGCCGTCAAACCTCTGTACAGTCAGCAGTACGACTTCGGACCTTGGGTTTGTTGTTTTTAGTCTTACCGCTCTTCAACCGACCTGTCTGGCATGGTAGGATCTTGAGGAACGATTGTTCCAGCCAGTATAGCTCGATTAGTTTATCACGATAGGCAAGCCCGACCACCACGTCAAGGTAGCAGCAACGGTCGGAATTCCTTATTCAAGATATTTTAAATAGTGAATACACGATAAGTAGCATATACTGCTTTAAATGTATCCGAAATTTATTCGTTTTTGTTTTGCTGATTTTAAAATGGAAAGTCAAAAAGATTAGTACACTACTATCATTTAAACGTATGAACAGAAAACTAATAGAAGTGACAATTATAAAAAAATTTTAATGTTAAATATCTAAGAGATCAACATACAAATTAGTTAGTTACCTGACATTGAATGAACTGTTTCAAAAGCAATCAGTTTCGGCGAATCCTTAGGTATATTCGCAAGTAACGAAGTTAAGTGTTTCACATCATTATGTTTATAGATAACTTTTGGACAACGACTAGTTCGAATCCCATGTATCATTGATGCATGATTACCAGCATCAGAGAATATTGTTAATTGCGGTATACGAGCTCCTAAAGTATGCAACACAGCTTCATTAGCTACGTAACAACTTGTAAATACTAAAGCTGCAGGTTTCCCATGAAGATCTGACAATTCAACTTCTAATGATTCATGTAACAATGAGTTGCCAGATATATTACGTGTTCCACCTGAACCAACACCATGTTTACGTATGGTAGAACTAAAAAAACGTTGTTTTTTAAAGAAAAATCCGTTGTTATATGAGTGATTAAAGCAAGGAAACGAAATAATGTAACCATAAGACCACTTTAAAACTAAAACTAACAAATAGTTGTATTTTGGCAAGATGATAAAGTGATAACTACCTTTTAAATCTTTATCGATAAGAGTGATACAACCAAGAATATTTGGGTTAAACCCCTACCAATGAAAACTCACTTAAACCTAGACTGGTTATTCCTCTAACTCATTTTATTTAACTATTAATCATGAAATTACGCCAGTTATATAAACATGACTAATCCTTGTTATTCATTCATTTTGTTGTTTCACTGATATTGTTCGGTATGTGTGTGCACTAATTGTATTATCAGTATAGGGTTGTGGAGATTGTTGAGTTTTAATTGAAATCATGAACCGATCGATGTTAAACCACCATTGAAAACCCGGGAAGACTAGACAACCGTTTCGTCCTAATATGGAATTCCTTAGCAGTGCGTACTCACGATCCCTAAAGCGGGATTCAAACCCAGGGCTCCCGGTCTCGCGCGTGAACGTTCAGCATCCAGATAAATGAGCCAGCATTCAACAATGTTAATGCCTAACTCCAACTAATCCATGATATTGGGCTACTGTCTTCCATTATCTTCGGTAGGTAACTACCTCACGATCAACACGGATTAGTTCTACTGGTTACGGTTTCTTATTAGAACTCCAAGAATTACCTCTCGAAGCTAGTGACTAGTGAGCACATGATAATTGTCAGTATAGGGTTGCGTTCACTAGCGAGACCGTAAGTTCTGGGTTCGAATCCCGCGTGGAGTTGTGGATTCGCCCTGATGAGGAGTTCCATACTAGGACTAAACGGCTGTCTAGTGCTTCCGGGTTTTCAATGGTGGTGTAACATTAGTCGCCTCATGATCTTCATTGTATTAACTTACATTTTAGAAAGAGATTATGATTATTGACTATGTATAGATAGATACCTGTTTTGGCCATAGTCATGTTAAGACCGGGTACGACGGTATAAGGACTTATTCAAGAAATTCATGTGTAGGTTATTACTTCCTGAATATGTGAGTAACATAAAACCCTATAAAATAAATTACACCCTTTATTCCTAGAAAAAAACAGAATTCTAATAAGTGTAATCTTTTAGCCTAGATTGATCTATCGTATTTTTCTATTATGAGGGAGAAATACAATAAATGGATAAACAAACTGTAAGTTTGGGGAATGAGTATTTCGCAAGAGATCAATTGAAATGATATACCACGGTAAAAGTATTATAGAAGACTCAATGAAGCGGATCAGACAATGACACTGTAAGTAAGTGAAGTGACTGTTTGTTGTTCATATGATTTTAGTAAGTAAATATCACGAGTAGGAAATACAAAATCAGAGTTACCTTAAACTGTAGTTGTGCTCACTATAATAAGACAACCAAAAATAAATTGTATCATTTATAAGCGCAGTCGCATTGGTCATTCGATCGATCAGTTATACTTTACAACATTACAACTAGAAAATTCTGTCGAATTCTATTTCACCCATGGGAACCATGACAATAGAATATCTGGAACGAATTTAACATCGTTCATGAGCTTCAAACAAATTTTTTCACAAGTCTGATTACATTATAATGCAATTCCACATATCAGGTAATTCATCTTATTAATTTGTATGGTAAGCGGTTTTTATAAAAGAGATTTATATGGTGATATATAACTTATTTGATTTATTTATTTATTTTATTTAAACACATAAATATTGGTACAAAAAGGAACCAGATATATATGCGCCACACAAATCTCATTTGATTTGTGTGAGGGCTGTGATAATACCCGGATGCCCAAACCGAAACAGGTGGTTTCCTTAGGGAGCCACACCCCCAGCCTCGGACCTAAAAGTCTAATCCACAAGGTAGTGGAGCATCGTAAGGAGATGCAGTCCCATGGTAGCCGGTGACCAACACCATGTGTTCCCTCAGGATACTGGAACCCATGTGCACCATTAGTTTGGAATCAGGGTTTTCCAACTCCTTTAGGTGAACTTTCTATGTTCACCAACCCAGTTAAAGCGCCGGACATTCGCTTTTCGTCCATTCAATTTCGTAAACAACAGTAATGCCACTGTGAGAATGCAGTGAGCAGGACTCCCCTGGCAAATGCTATATACGCGTAGCCATGTGAGAGTAATTCGAAAGGGAGAGTGGACTCTCCCCACTCTCGGCTGTACCAGGGCATTTGGGGGCTATTCGATTACACATGTTATATTAATTTAATTAAACTATAAGTTTCATCAATTATTCTACAAGTATTTAATTTGTCATTACTAGACTTACAGGCAGTAACATACTACTGTTAAATAGAATTTTACAAGTACTTATTGAATACTAAAATTATTTGATTTGCAGAACTGATGTGCTTTAACTGAATGCAACTGCTCTTACAGTCTAGTTGATTTCTTAAATTTCATCTACCAGGTAGTGGTCATCTTGTTTGGTTAAATTTTCATGATAGTGTAGGGGTTGACAAATGAACATCAAATCAAACAAAAAAAGAGACTTTCAATTTCATTAATGACGGTAAGAATTTAACGCCACACTACCATTTCTTTTGAACAGTCTGATCTAACATTAATTTATTAATATACTTTGTCGTGTTTGTGCTATGTTATAACCTTTTTGTACATGATGATATATATAATTCAAATTATTATAAAAAACCTACAAGTGTGTTCATCATATTTTTCTGACTTAAGTGCTAGTTCAATCGTGACTACTAAAGTACGTATTGGACAGTCCTGAGAATTACTGGCCCATATATTACAACTTCTATCCATATACTTTTATTATCAGAAATGAAAAATCAGAGTATACAAGTGGAAACATGTGAAAAGCAAGGATTGATTGGAAAAAAATACCATAGAACAATGGATATTACATTAAAATATTAATTTCAATTGCATTTCCAATGCGGTGTGATTCATGCTTTAGCTTATTATCCTTGTTATTCACATGTCTTCACTTGTATAGCCTGACCTTTTATTTTTGAGATAAAAGTATCTTCAAGAATTAATGTGAGATTACATTGGTCGGAGTGTATAGTATAGCACATACGATATAGTAAATATTTCTAATATACTTAATCGTGACACTGTACACTATATGAACATAATATAATTGTCATCAAAACGAAGCTGAATTTTCCGTCCCATTTGGGACTCGTCAGCTGGATGTACCTGTATCTCAGAGTTGATGTTCACTCTGGGACTCGAACCCAGTAACTTTCGCTTCAAACGCCATCGCGTTATCCACTCAGCCACTGAGTTCTGATAGCCAACATCAATGGGAAGATTCAAACAAACAATACTGAATTGAATTTAAACTTCACCCCATTGCACAAGCAAGTGGCTATCAGGACTCAGTGGCCGAGTAGATAACGCGATGGCGTTTGAAGAGAAAGTTACTGGGTTCGAGTCCCAGAGTGAACATCAATTCTGAGATACAGGTACATCCAGCTCACGAGTCCCAAATAGGACGAAACGCGCGTCCTGGATTCCACTGCTAGCCACTATCCATCTTTGCTTACCATGCTATATCGAGGCAATACGCACAGTATGCACATATGCCGATAAGAGACTGGTCAGTTGCAGTCCTAAACATCAATGAGAAGATTCAAACAAACAATACTGAGTTTAATTTGAAGTTGAATTTTCGTTTACAAATAATCCAACGTTAATCTGTGTTTAGTATGAAGGGAAAAAGTATGTGTTTAACTAAGGCTGAGTACTAATTAGCATGTAGTAGCAAAATTTTAGCCAATTACTGATTACTACTGTCGTGTGAGCTACTTATATCGACATAAATAGTATATAGCGTGAGTGAGGAATAGAATGTCTGGCAGCAGAAGATTGAGAAGATCGAGAAGGAAAGTACAGAAACAGAAAGCAATTGATATGAAAATGCAGGAACAATAAAGCCTGAGACAATTAATGAACATTTTGCAAATGAAATGTTAGAGTATGGTTTTTATAATTTACCAAGTAACCTTGTAATTTTGTGCTACATATATAGTCGGTTGTCCTCACCTGTGTTCTCATTCACTAAAGTGCTAATAATAATAATAATAATAATAATAATAATCACATTTATACCACAAAGTCTCTGAACGAACAGATACTATGAAATAGAACAATTAATCTACAGAATTTACGATTACAAAATAGCATAGTCGGCTATCTGTAAAAAGAAACTATAAAATATTTGGGAGATAAGTATTTGTAAGTCACCACCCAAACATTATAGCCTCTAAGTAACATACCTAACATCTGCTCCCTATATTGGTGCTAGGATTAATAAGCTTATGTAAATGTGATTTGCCCATTAAAAGTTCATATCAATCACAACTAATTGAAGGAAATAAAAAAGCAACACTTACATGGCAGCTTCTTGAACTTTAGGATGCCAACTCATTCCCAAATAATCATTGGAACACCAGACTGCTACACGACGTTTCATACCACTAGAATAATCATCAGCAAACGGAAATTCAGATGCATCTCTTAAAATTCTTCTAAATACTCGATAAGTAGAATCTTTCTTTTTCTTTTCTACTTCAGACGCGAAAAACTTATTATAATTAAAACCTAGGCAGGTATCACCATCATTACGCACTGAATCGATTGTTTGAGGATGTTTTGGATCAGTGTCTTTCATTGTCATGGCTGTTGTTGGCTGTAGACTTTTTCTCGCAACTATACTCTTTTGCCAACCAGCGAATAAGGCACACGTATTTGGAATACAGATGTCTACAAAAAGAATAGATACGAAATACGATAAAAAAAAGAACCCTTTTAGATACTAACATTGTAATGAAGTTTCTTCACAACTTAGTACGAACAAAATGAAAGGATATTTATGGAGTTTTAGCGAGAAGTGGTGACCAGTGTCGGGTGTAGGGCAGCTATTCACCAATGGATTCGGAAGATAGTTGTGTAATATCAAGAACCGACTGTAATTAGACATGTGAACCATTGGATACTGAATCAGTGGTCTAAAGGTTAGCTATTTGCTGTGAGACCTAAAGGTCTTAAGTTCGATCTCTGATTGGGTCGTGGATACCTACTGCTGAGGAATCCCGTACTGGGATAAAACAGCCGTACATTTTCTGCTTTTTTATAAGTTGTTTAACCAAGTTTACGATGTGATGTAAACTGTAAAATTCAAGGCTAGTGTTCATCAAGAAATAACAAATTGTACTATAGATAACTTTTACATAATTAGTATGTCCCAGTGCGGAAAATCTGGAACCAAAACAAATTTGAAAGAGTGTCTATAGCACTAAAGAAGACATTCTCTAAGAAAATTCAGTTCAAAAGAGATACAGCAGAAGAAATTCTGGAAAACAAACCTTCGAGATCTCTTAGGTAAACATTCATTTCGGATGAACTTTATATTCTTATTTGGTCGGTCCATGATTCATAGTTGTGTGAAGGATAAACTTCTACTTTGGGCCAAGTTAATGTGCATTTATCAGTTTAATGGCTCATGTGCAGCAGGTTATATTGACCGCGCAAAGCGAGCTCTTTTGAAACGCATCTCCGAACATTAAGCTGCCTGGCTTTCTAAAGGACTACTAAAGTCAGTCAAGAGTCAAATCTTAGAGCACCTAATTAATTCTGGTCACTCTGCTTCACCTAAATCCGCTTTTCAAATAATTCGCATGGTTAGAATGATCAACTCAGAAAGAATACAAATGAAAAACCCATGTATAACAGAAACCATAGCTACCCATCGATTCAAGTCTAACTTTTGTGCATAAAAACAGAATGTTTAATCTTACGTCCTACCATGGTCTTAACCCTTTTTTCTAATTTCCGTAATCTATCGCTCTTTTTCTGTTCTTAAAATCTACCAAGTGGATAAATATCTTCACCCTAACATTTCTCGTTAGACGTTGGACGACTACATAACCTCCCTTCAATATCTAATTTTGGTAGACAATTTGTGACACTATATCACTGAATTTTATTATTTAACATCATCTCATTGTACTATGGACAGTTAATTCTAAAAGATTAATTGACTAAAAGTACAACTGTACAACCTAAGTAAATTAAACAAATAGGCTGGTAAAAATAAAGTATTCTTCATTTAACTTTTCAGGGGTCAACCTTACTGAAGAATTATCCATTTATTTGGAATACACAGATGGGATAGTTGTATTTAATGAAGATATCCACAAAACACGGAGTCATGAGTAACAATACTAAAATGTTTAGGATGAGTCTGTATCTCTGAATGCGAAATGTTTCATCAAGACCTATTTGCATTAACGCTTAGCCTGACCATATAAGGTGAAGTAGTCGAAAATGTTGATAACATCATAGTCTTGACAGCCTTCATGGATTGGCGGAAGAAATCAGGATTGGTTTGTGCCAACTCCTACCATCTATGGTGTAGGTAAAATATCCATCTCGCAACAAATAGGTGAGTATGTTGTGCACCGGTCCGTACTGCACTAGCCTGTAGCTATGAAGATACAAAGTTTGGGTAAACTGAAAGTGTATGATTATATATATATATATATATATATATCTTAAGGAGAGTGGTTAAAAATTAACAAAATCTAGTTTCCTACTGATAATTGAAATTCTAGCTCATAAAAAGATAAATTTCATGCTACAAGAAATAAAAAAATCCAAAGATAGTTGCAGTAACAATGCGAAATTGTACTAGAAATTTTGAAAAATATTATTAATAATAGGGTTGTTTAGGGAGTAGTAATAAATTGAGTTATTTCTCAGTTGATGATTCGTAAATGGTGAACGTTTTAAAATTGAGCTATGCAAATTCAGTACAGAGCCATAGAAAAATCAGGTTCGATTCCGCATAGATAATTAAAGTTATATATTTAACAGCTCTAGGAAGGTTTGAGTTAAGTCAGTTACTGATAACCATATCTGTGAAAAAGACAAAAGTAAACGAGGAATTTTTGTTTCAACTTACTCTCATCAGTTACTATGGCACTGAATTCAAATCAATGACCGTATGTCGCAACATGTATTGAGCAATTTCTCATGGGGAACGATATAACTCATTGTGGCATCATTAATTCTCATACCCTACGTTATTTATAATCATTAATCTCTCAAATTTATTTAACCTAAAAGCTGATTACAAATATTTAATGGTAATTTGGGTTTAAACATAGTTGTGCAAGGTATGCCATTGTGTATGAATAACACGTAGAATTACTAAGTCAAGTTATTTTATTCACAATTCTGAAATAATAATTTGTATATAGAAAAGTATTCACATAGAACCCAGCAAACAATGTGAACTTATGACTGTAGAAATTAATGAAAATTTAACACGAAGTATATTCTTTCTTTATGTGTCTTAATACAAAAACAGTTCTTAAGTAATTGTTATACTTTCTGCAATATATTTATATTTATCAAATAACCATTCAACTTACCATCAGAAATCCCACATAACTGGTTTTGAAACAACTCGTTTTCGTGATTATCAGAGGTTTGACCGCACAGATAATCATTTGAACATGTTGACTCATATGAATTGACCGTAAAAGGACACTTTTTCAATAAGCACTCTGAAACATTCTCTAAAATACAGAATTAATTCAATAACAAAATAGATGGAAAAAATATTTAAATTTATAGAAAGGGTAACATACAAAGTTGATAATCAATAAAAATGACCAAATAAATGTGTTAATTTTGTTGACTGAACGTTAAATATCAGGTTCAGGAGCGAGGGTTCAGTGGTCAAAGAACCCGACTTCTTAACGAGCAAGTAGCAGGTTTAAATAATGTTTCACCTATTTCAGCTTAGCCAACCACAGTGTCACTGTCCCTTCAACAATGTGTGGCTCAGAGACGGGTACATTAACTCGTACTTAGTTACTGGGTTGTATAGTCTCAAGAGACTGTTAGTTTTTATATCAGTTATCAAATAACAGTATTCACTTTCTGTCAAGCGTATTAATACGGTTAATTGTCTTGCAAAGTTTTGCGAAAAATAGTAATCTCCTGACAGTCCATTAGTCTAAATACAAAACTTTTAACAAAGAGTTCAAACACACCATTACAACTACATATATTTATGCAGCTGGTGAAAGTTGTCCCTAAATTACATGATAAATTCAATTAATAACTTAATAAACAAATATAAGCATGATTATCGAGATAAGTTTAATGTTATCTATAGGTCACCCTGAGGTAATTTTCTCACTACTATTAAGTGGGAATGCCCGGTTTAAAGTATGAAAGGAGTGGCTTAGCGGTTAAGAAGTTCGACTTTCAGCCACTATGTCCAAGGTCCAAAACCCGCTTTCCCTACTTCGTTTTTGGTAACCAGGTAGTAGTATTACTAACAATCCCTCTAAATGTAGCTGACATCCGATTACTTGGTAAATGAGTTGATCTAAATTTAAATAAAAGCTAAAACAAGACGGAATTTCAGACAGAACTATTCATACCAAAAATGGAAATTTAGCTCATAAACATTTTATCAAAAATTAGACGAATAGTTATTGAATAGTCATGATTACACAGAAAATATAGAACACCCAATTATATTTGCATGAAATTTCAACGATTGGAATTAAATGACCCCAATGTTCCTCCCGATTGTCTGATTTGAACTTCAGGGAAATAATCCATATTAACATTATATAAAGTAAGATCGCGAAAACAACTGTCAAATTGTGTTCAAATGTTAAACTTGATTCATAAAGTAAATATGAGTTATTTATTGTGCAATGGGTTCAAACAGCGGTATGTGAATATGTGCATTTATGTTATTATTATTTGAACCCAGTGATCATGTGTTCCTAAACTATGGTAAATCTATTCCATAAAATGATTCACGCCGAACTCCTGTTTGGACATATGTCATTATGTAATTCATTCAGTAATTAAGGGTTTACATACCAAACTTGAGTCAAACAGTACGAGATTTGAAAATAACACCAAGATCAGCAGAGAGAAGTAGGTAATGTGGGGTTCGAAATTCAACCTAAGGGTTATAAGTCAAGCGACCTAACAACTATCCCACCATCATATATAAGTCATTACAAACTGGAAGGAATTTGACGAATTCATGTAGTTCTAGATAAAATGGTTCCTGTCGCTCATTTTAAAAGTCACCGAGTAGTTATACAAGAGAGCTATAGTAACTTCAGACTAGGGGTTCTATATCAAAATTGTTGAAAACAGTGCTGTCAGCTTTCTTGTTAATATGAAAAACTACAGAAACATGCATTCCATTCTTTATTCTTTGGATGTTCTGTTGTGCTGTTCGCATCACATTTCTGGGGGAATTTTACAAATTGAATACATTAGCTTATTTTACTTTGTATACTTAAAGATAATGCTTTATTCCAAAACAATTATATTTGAGTCCTCTAAAGTTCACAAAAACGCTTTTTAGTTCATGAAATCTCTAGACGAAGACACTCAAATATTTTGTTTTACAAATATTCCGTTTTATCTTTATTAAGATAGCTAGGTTAAGACTGGAACAGTAAAGCGAGTTTGGATAATATGCATAAAACTTTTGACCATGGACCTTACAACTATGTTACAGTGAAGGATTGGACTGACTGCCACCGAATAAGACATGTATTTCTGTGGATTATCCACAGTTTTTATTTGAGGAAGATCAGAAAACAAACCTGTCTGGTCACAAGAAGTAAGATATAAAAATATAGGCGATATAAAAGATAAAGGCTTACTACAGACTGATGATTCATCTGACTGATGCTCCGTAGCAACATCTGAATACATTCTGGGACTGGAAAGTGGAGTTCCATCAAACAAACGCCTAGCAAACGGACATCTTGGTATTAATTGGATCAACTGCTGAATATCTCTTTGAATCACAGTAGGAGACAATTTACGCAAAAACGGGCACGACGTCATTGTAAAACCTTAGACAAAAACTAACAAAAAGCCATAATGAAAAATATACAAACCAGTTATTTATTAGTAAGAAAAATACTTATCAGAACATTAGAAACTAGTGCGTACACATTAGTATATTACAAAAACAAATCACCACGTCAACTTAGGACATGCCAACTTTTCTAGACAAATGAAACCGATATGAATGAATGTCTGTAACTGACACTTTTTGGTATGTATAAACGATCTCGGAAGTATCAGTTAAATAAAGGATGAATTTAATTGTATTTATTTATTTAAACACATATATATTGGTACAAAAGGGCACCAGGTACATATGCGCCACACAAAATAATGAAAGTAGGAAGAGAAGGAATGAAAAGATAAGGCGGACTAAAATGTACAACCAGAAGACTCTTTCAGTTAAGAAAGTTAGAACCATTCTTTATGTAGAAAGTAAAAGAAGGTTGCAGCAGGATCGCCACTGGCTTCTATTCCGAGCCATATCTGATAACGTCTCTAGCCACTGTGTTGTACTATCTCTCGGACCCCAACCAGGGAGTCGTGAAGGACCAACAAAAGCTAGCCCTTTGCAGCTCTCTTTCATGCCACGACACCATGTCATACACTGACCTCCTCTCCGCTTTCTCCAACCAGTCCCAGGGTCGGCAAATAATGCACGACGTGGAAGTCTCTGGGACGACATTCGTAAAACATGTCCAAGCCACCGAAGTCGGTGTTTCAAGATGGTGACACCAATTGAATTATCGTCTCTGTGCCCGAACACACGATGCCGAACCTCTGCATTACTAACATGGTGTTGCCACTGGATGTCAGCAATCCTTCGGAGACAACGATGATCGAACACAGAGAGACGTCTAACATCCTCAACTCGGAGAGGCCAGGTTTCACAAGCATAGAGCAAAACTGCACTCACCGACGCGTTGTAGATCCGACCTTTTACAGCCAGACTAACATCACGAAGGCGCCAAAGATGGCCCAGATTGGCATAAGCCGATCTGGCTTTCCTTATACGTGCATCAATCTCATCACTCACGCCACCACCAGCACTTATATAGCTACCTAGATACACGAACTTCTCAACTACTTCGATCTGCTCACCATCCAGGGTGAGTACAGGATTAGAATCCTGCCAGTCTTGTAGAAGTACTTTGCACTTGGAGGGTGCAAAGCACATGCCGTACCTGCGGACACTGATTGCCAACTGATTAAGTGCTGATTGCATGCCTTGGGCATTATCGCACAGTAAGACAATATCATCCGCATACTCAAGGTCGAGAAGTCGTTCTCCAGGCAACATATCCACACCGCCATTACTTACATCCATCAGAGCTGTTTCCAGGATGTCGTCGATAGCAAAGTTGAAGAGGAATGGGGAGATCGGGCAACCCTGCCTAACCCCACTGCTCGAATGGAACAAGGGAGAAAGGTGGTTGTATGCCATCACTCTGCCTGAGGTGTTCGTATACAGGGCCTTTAAGATGTCAATGAACTTCTCAGGCACACCCTACTTCAATAGACAATCCCAGAGAACAGTCCTGTCCAACGAATCGAAGGTCGCCCTGATATCAAGAAACACTACGATTGTTGGCCTGCGATAAGTATGACGGTGTTCTAACATTTGGCGGAGGGTGAAGATGTGATCAATGCATCCTCGACCAGAACGAAAACCAGCCTGCTCCTCGCGAGTCAATCGTTCTCGGGTTTTAAACAACCTACGAAGAATGATAGAAGCCAATAGTTTGGACGCAATCGAAAGTAGACTTATCCCCCGATAGTTATTGCAGGAACAACGTGAACCCTTTTTAAAGATAGGGACGACTATTGACTCATTCCATGATGTTGGAACACTTTCTTGCTCCCAAACCTTTCCAAACAACGCAGTCAGTTCCTTAGCCAGAAAGTCACCACCATCTTTAAAAAGAACCGGAGGTAAGTCATCTGGGCCAGGTGATTTATAACGTTTCAAGAGTTGGAGTTCCTTGAGGACTTCCGCCTCGTTTGGTGTATCAGTCGTCACCTACCATGGGGGGTAGGACAAGCTGGTTGATGTTGCCGGAGCAGCAGGCCAGTTGAACTGCCCTTCGAAAAATTCCGCCCATCGTCCAAGACGTCGACAGATGTTAGTGATTGGCATCCCGTCATCCTCGTAGATTGTTTCACTCACACCAGACTTCTTGCTGCCAGTGGCTCGGATGAGTTGGAAGAGCTTCCGGCAGTTACCAGATGCAGCTGCTGCTTCCATCTCATTAGCACGCTCCGACCACCAGGCTTCCCGGTCCTTACGCAAGCTTTGCCCGATTTCATCACGTAACAGCCTTCGTTTGTGGTCAAACTCACGGTCACCCGGAGTAGACCGACGGGCTTCCATCAGTTGTAAGGAGCCAGAAGAAACCCAGTGCTTGTAAGCGGGACGTTTCGCGAAGCCGCAAGCGGCTTTACTCGCCATTTTCATGGCGTCATGAAGATGCAACCAATGCTCATCTATACTTTTCGGTGGGGTGGTAGCTAGCCTAGAGCCTAGCTCCGCTCGATACTAACTTGCAACAGAAGTTGCAGCCAGTTTACTAACATCAATCCGTTGGTGGTGGTCAATCCTTCGGCCACTGAAAAGTAAGGTGAGATTGGCGCAGACCAGGGCATGATCAGACTCCAGATAGGTACTCCAAAAGGAGCGGCAGTCTTGTACACAACCACGCCAGCGGTAGCTGATCGCGATGTGATCAATCTGAGTCCAGGCTTGGGATGCAGAGGGAGGACGCCAGGTGGCACACCGGCGATGACTGTGCCGGAAGTTAGTGCTGGCCAGAAACAGGTTGTGGTCTGTGCACAGTTGCAGCAAACGGTCCCCGTTATCTGTCCGGCGACCAACAAGTCCCCATCGGCCACCTAGACGACTCTCTTCTGTGCCTAGACGCCCGACCTGTGCATTCAAGTCTCCGGCTAGTACTACAATATCTGTCAAACGCGCTTTCTGGAGAAGAACTGTGAACTGATGGTAAAACTCATCCTTGATTGCATCCGGGCTGCAATCTGTCGGGGCATAGGCGGAGATGACGAAAAGACACCGTTTCTCACGCCGATTTCTTCTCACTTTGATGGAACTTTCTAATCTAACAGCACATAACCGACTGTTAATGGGGATCCAATCGATTAGTGCTGTCTCAGCCCTAGCGCTTAGTGCGACACCAACGCCAACAAGACCAGACGAAGATGCCACAGGGTCCCCGGATAAGCGCACGTGGAACAAGCTTTTCGAGGCGACAGATGGAGAGCGGATTTGTAGTACTTCACTAAAGTCTTGAATACGGGTCTCGGATAGACAACAAACATCAACATTAAGACCTTCCAAAGACATAGCCAGTCCGATCTGTTGTCTGATATGCATTAGTGTGCGAACGTTGAAGGAAGCCAGCTTGAACGGCGTACGTGGTTTCAGAAAGACTGCTTCAGTATTCATTATCGCTGGAAGCATTTACTTTCAACCAGACAGTGACTGCAGATCGTTTAGATAGGACAGATTTTCCACCATAGGCGAGCTGCTGCATAAGTTGAAAAGTAAGGTTACACAAATTGGGGATAAAAGGGGGTGAGTTAGCGATATGGTAAATAATAATAATAATAATAATAACAAAGGTAATAATAATAATGTTAATTGTCTTGCCTTTAGTATGACCAGGGATATTATCGTCAATAGAGTTCATAATTTCATTCATTTGTGTGTGGGCTGTGATACTGCCCGGGTGCCCAAACCGAAGCAGGTGGTTTTCTTAGGGGACCACACCCCGAGCCTTTGACTTAAAGGTCTGATCCGCAAGGCAGTGGAGCATCGTGAGGAGATGCAGTGAACTTGTAATGTACTGTTATAAATTACGAAAAATTCTACAACCTATAATCACAGAACTACTTTTCCGGGTTTGGTTGTGATAATGACAGCTGTACTTAATGCGAATTCCCCAATGTGAACCGGAGTATGAATGATAACCGTTTTATAAGTTAAATTTCGGGAGAATAGGTGAGAAAACATATACTGTAGAAAAAAATGAAAATAAGTACAACTACTTCAAAGCAGCTTGATTAAAACTGGATTTACTTCAGTAAAATTGAACTGCTTGACTAAACAGTTACGTTGCTTAATCTGTAGTATATATAAAGACTCAACTCCGGCAGATGCTATATGATGCATATAGGTAGTAATAGTTAATCATATGATGGTTCAATCTAAAACTAGTGATTTTCGAATCCGCACTATGTGATGGATATTTTGGTTTAGGAATCTGGTAATATTTTCAGTTCCAGGATCATTACAGTAAAAATAATGTAACTCAGTATTCAGGTTCAAGTTTGTATACTTAATTTTCACCGATTCTTTTAGTCTGTCTAATGTTCCTACAGGCTGTCTAAAATCCAATAGATAAAATTGAGATCGAACTTTCAGCTTAGCTGTAAGAATTCAAGTGCTATAGCTAAGTCAGTGCTTTGTAATTAATGTTAAATTTAGCACAATGTGCATCCATTGGGCGAGTTCACGTTAATTTGTTATAAATTAATTCATCCTGACTAATAGTTTGAAGATGTTAGGCCTAAATTATGAACATGATATAAACTTACCCTGACTATTTACGAGAACAAATTGGGGGTCTTGACCATATCTTTAACATGATCTTTAAGATAAAGACTCAATAACTATACTATTTCGTCATATTTCTCCGAGTCTTGAAAACCGTATCATTGATAATCGGTTTGTATCTGATCTTTTTTAGCTCTTTACGACTATTTGTGATATAACATCTAGCTCTCTATCGCCTTTACCTCAACTTATATATCGATGTAAAATGTTACGACTGTGACAAATCACATTATCTGCCTGTCAGCATAATAAGACAGAACAATGAGAAATTACATCAATCCCGTATAAAATATTCAAAAGTACCTGCCTTATAAGTTAATGAATAAAAATTAACATTATTTTGGCTGTGAATCTTAACGTTGATGTAGTGTGCACTGTTATCAAAAATCATGAGGGACCAAATGTATTGGAACTATGATGTTTTTCCCGCTTAGCAAAATATATCAATCTGAACTTTGAAGCACATTTCGTTATAGTACACTTACATTTAGTTTCCGTCGGTTTAATTGACAAAAATTTAGGCTGTTGAAACTATATATATATATATATATATATATATATATATATATATATATATATATATATACGAAGAATTAGATACTAACCACCTAAAAGAATGTATTGTAACAGAAATCTGTGCATCAAGTCTCACAGCTTGCTGACAAATGTGGCGCAAGTATTGTCATGCTTCGTTATATATTCAGTTATGCTATGGCCCTGAGAGAGGACATTATAAGGGGTTTTGCAAAAATCACTCTTCCCAAATGGATTATGAACAGGTTATATGAACACCATTTAACTATCCAGTCAACAACAAAAACTGTTCAGACGAACACTAACTATTTAGAGTTTCAATACATTACACTATTATGCATAAATTACTGCTAGATCTTGGTAAAAATCGTGTCCCAACCCCGTGGCAATATTATTTGTAGTGAACTTTCAATGGTCCGTAATCTGATGCAGAAAACGAACTTTTATGATTAAACAACCAAACCCTAGCATTTGACATATCTAAGAACTTTACAAGATGATCAGTTTTATATAGGATGTTATTTAGAATTCCATTCCCTACAGTTATTAGCTTGGATATTGAATTATAATATATATCTACTGTCCGGGAAAAAAAGGCTACTTAGCGGTTAGAACTCTTGAGTCAGCAAGGTTGCTTAGCCAAATTTGCGTGTTATTTATTACACTAACCCATATTAGTGCAGTCTTCCTTACAAGCTTGAACTGTGGAATTCTAGACTTAGTTATTTTAAACTATCTTGTAATTATTCATATAAATTTGACCACAAGAGTAAAATAATAGGAATCGAAAACTCATAAAAGCTGCTTACTATTAACAGAGAAGTGTAAAGCCAATAAACACTGACGCTTAACACGCTTACAGAAATGTCCTGAACCGTTAAACCTTCAAGTACTACACACAAATGTCATTGGTCCATTTTATAAGCGCCTAATTCAGATTCCATTGCATGGTTCAATGCTTTTTATACATGATAAGTTAACCAAATGAACCCTATCAACCGTCAGGACAACAATTATTGTAGATTGAATCAATATCTCGGAACTTTTGAATACTATTTCATGAATTTCGTGGATGCTATGGGGGGGATCATCTTCAGTGCATATGCTCCTGTCTTTTGTTATTGAGGTACTTGTTGAAATCTTCACTTGTCTCCAAAATTAATATGTATTTCGACGTCTATATATACTACTCCTTCTATCTGTTGTTGTATTGTGCCTCGTTTATCTCTGAGAAATCTTTTATTAAGTTTGCGGATGCCAATGTAGTAGCAACTAAATCCTTAAAATATATTGTTCTTCAAGTTTCAGTTTCAGTTTCAGTTTCAGTTTGGAAAGGACAGGAGGCTTGATGGCCTGTGTTAGTCCTGGCAATGATGGTCTCTCAGCTGATCCAACTTTCTTTTGAAGGAGTCGACGGATGGAGCCTCAACCACGTGCTGAGGTAATGAATTCCACTCGTTGATTATGCGATGGGAAAGTCGGTAGTCAGCTGACAAGTAATTCGTTCGGGGCTTGTGAACTTTTTTGGAGTGTCCTCGTAGATTTTCTGTTTTGGAAGACAAGAAAAATGAGGGCATATCACGTGCAAATTTGTCATTAAGCAATTCGAAAACTATAATCAATCGCTATTCCGGGAATCAACCTAGTTGCTGTTCTCTGAACCCTTTCCAATAGTTCACTGTCTTTTTTTAGGCAGGGGTTAGCTGCTTGTATACAGTACTCAAGTTTAGGGCGCACAAACACAGTATACAAAGTCAGAAACGTTTTAGCGTCAAGATGCCTAAAAGCCCTGCGTATGGACCATAAAGTCCTAAAACCTTTGGCGGCTATTGCACAGCAGTGTGCAGTAGTCTTTAAGTCTTGACTGACGATGACGCCTAAGTCGTTGTGTGCCTGAACAATAGGTAACTCAGTGTTATTCATCGTGTATGCATCTGTACCCTGGTGGTCAATATGCATCACAATACACTTGGAAGTGTTTATCGGCAATTGCCAGGTTTGAAACCATTCAGATAATCTCTCCAGGTCATTTTAAAGTTCAAAGCCATCGCTCTTGCTTTGTATCGCTCTCCATATCTTGACATCAGCAGCATAGAGTAAGACCGATGACGATAGTAGACGAGGGAGATCATTTACGTTCAGGAGGAATAACACTGGCCCCAAATATTTACCCTGGGGACTCCACTAAGCACAGTTTCCCAGCTAGACAACTTGGAGTTCACCCTTACTCTTTGTTGACGCCCAACTAGGAAGTCTTTTATCCACATCAATAGATTGCCTCCAATCCCGACATTCCTTAGCTTATATAACAGCCAGTTATGCGGAACTTTGTCGAGAGCTTTTCTGAAATCCATGTAAGCTACATCTATAGGTAATTTTTGGTCCTTAAGAGCGCACCAGCTTTCACGAGCGACTCATAAGTTTGTGAGACAAGAGTAACCTGTTCTAAAACCATGCTGCTTTTTGGAGAGGATCCGGTTTTCATCGAGATACTTTAACAGTTCCTTCCGAATAATCTTTTCTAAGATTTTAACAACCACACTAGTTAGGCTAATTGGTCGGTAATTCTCAGGCTTATGTTTTGTACCTGTTTTGAAGACTGGACTTACTATGGCGTTCTTCCAGTCTTTTGGTAGACGACCCTGGGTTACGGATAGATTAAAACATACACTCAGAGGGTTCGCAACAAAGTTAGCTAATTCCTTTAGTAACCTAGGATGCAGTTCATCGGGTCCAGTGGATTTACCTATGTCAAGCTTAACTAGCAGACCAAAGACATCGAGTTCTTTAATGGTTACGCTGTCCAGTGCTTGTGTGGGGGGATTTTCATGGACTGGTGAGAAGGGTGTTTCTATGGTGTATACATCGCTAAAGTATTTAGAGAATACTTGAGCTTTGCCAAAGTCGTCCTCTACTAGTGATGTGGCAGTACTGTCTCCCCATAGTGAAGGAACATTTCTTATTCTTTTTGTCCTTTGGTTTATATACGAATACAAGCGTTTAGGGCATTCTATGGATTCCCTAACGATTTTCTCTTTGTGCAGCTTTCTGGACTTACGGAGGGTCGAGGCACAGGTATTTCGAGCCTTTTGATACTGACATTTTGCCTCATCAGTCCCCAGTAACCTAAATCTGTCCCACATTTTCCTTCTTTTACGGAGAAGGATGCGAACCTCCCTACTGAACCACGGTGGGGAGTTTCTCGGTCTCTTAGGTGTAGTCCAAGGGATGTGGGGGGTGGTAACTTTTAAGTATAAATACCGGAATATGTCCCAAGCCGTTTCGATTGATGACTCTGGGTCTGATTTCCAATCTACTGATGATGCTGATTTCATGATGTCTGGTATGTTTTTCAGACGTTAGGTCTGGATTGAGCTGAAGCGTACTCGTGATCGACAGTTATATGGAAGTCAAAGCTTAAAACTGCATGATCACTTTTGCTTAGGGATGGCATGTAATCCAGGTTTGCAACATCATCCTCATAATAAGTTAATATAAGATCTAGTAAGGATGATGCAGAACCCGGGTCGTACCTAGTTGCTTCCCTCACGTGTTGCACTAGGGCACATGTGATTACCGCATCAACTAGTTCTCGTTTGAAGGAGTTTGCTGACGACTCAGTCCGCAGATTTCCCCAGTCCACCATGGGTGCATTAAAGTCCCCTAGGATTAGACATCCATCACTTCGTGATAAAGTGTTAAGACTGCTTAGCAGGACCTCGTTTGCCTCACAGCTTGGACTGCGATAGATCAAAGTAAGTAGCAACTCTTGTCCCCTGCATTTCAGGCGGCAGCAAACTAATTCATACGTCCCACTCTCATGGGATACACTGTCGATAATGGTGAATGGAATAGCATTCCTAATGAATAGAGCTACTCGCCTCCTTTACGCGTTTGCATTCTATCGGCCCTTACTAATGTAAAACCCTCGAAATCAAGTTCCCTACTATCTATAGACGGCGTCAGTCATGTTTCTGTGACTGCGATTATGTCTGGCCTAGTTGAGTCAATCTGTACACCTAGTTCCGGTAGCTTATTTAGTAAGCTCCGGGCGTTGGTATAACAGATCCGAAGCCTATTTAGGTGGCCTAGTGCTTCACCCAGAGTGGCTTCGGCATCATCCTCTGTCGAAGCCTCACAACCCGAAAACTTACAATTTTCAGGTCTTTTTCGCCAGCGTCTAATCTGAGCTGTAGTTCCTTTTCGGCTTCCCGTCTTTTAACACGGTCCGCCAACGGTAAGTCCTTACGGAGAAAAACCCCTGAACCCTTTAAATTTGTGTCCATTTTCTAAGATTAAGTCGCGTTCGTTTGGGGTTTTGAAAACGACTTTGAATAGTCTAGACTGATTTGGTTTCAGATGAGCAAGATTTCCTAGTCTACACACCTTTAGCAAGGTAACTCCGGGGATGTTTTTGGGCATAACTTGGTTGAGTAGTTGTTTTATCAATACAATGCCATGCTCAAAACGAGCTTTCGGTTCTAAGTTGTCACTCTCCTTGACTCTATGGAGAATGACTGATCTGTCGCTGTTATCAGACCTCGGCTTGTCGACCCTTTTGGTGGGGGTATGATTTTCTTTTACGTCATTTTGGCGTTATTTTCTTACGACCCGTACCCAATCGCCAACGTTATTTGGAGTGGTAACCACAGTCGCGTCAGGCGTACTGTGGGATTTCGGAAGATTCAGGACGACTTGGGAGATTGGGTCATCTTTCGCGCTGGAAACCGATCGAGCCTTGCGGTTTCGGCTTCCGGAAGTTCCCTTCTGGGTACCATTTTTGATACGAGGGACAAAAGAAACTTTTTTGCGCGAGTTTCTGGTTGTAACAGTCCTCTTTGGAGGATGTTCTTCCTCCTTAGTAGGGTGTGGGTCGGCAGTTTTTGGACTCACTTGGGCCTGCCTTGTGTCAATCTGCGTGTCGACAGATTGAGTTCTGACTGATGTATCCCGACCGCGTTTGCCGAGACACTTTTTTGCGGCATTTGCCATTGAAATGGCCTCGGTTAACAGGCTATTCGCATCCAAACAGCACTGTTGACATAGCCATACATACCCATTTTTACTGAACCGCTTCAGGATTGATACTGACTTCAGTAGTTTCACTAGATACACCCTAACTGAGGGAGCTCGGAAAAGCATCCTCACCAGACCGCTATTCGGTACTCTGTGCCAATCACCCATTGCGACAGCTAACCAGCTTATACTATAGGGGGAGTGAGATGTCACTGGGCCCTAGACAAATCGTCTTGCAGTCAGGCCACTGAGTGTCTAACTGTTAACTGATCCTCTTCAAGGCCAACGCAAACAACGAGCATCAGATAATTCTACAACATGGACTGACTCATGCAGCAGTGGTCGCACTTTGTTTCCTGTAATTATTCTTACTAATACATTTCTGTAGTAACGTCGTTTGAGTTGTATGGTCATAGAAGCAGCCGTAATACCTGGATTCGGAGAAGGAGCAGTTCACGTTTGGGGGCTAACCATGAGGTGTAACTGTAACCTTAGCTAGTTGATCTTACTATTTCCTCCTAACACGAATAGGCCCACAGTTATTCGACACAGACCATCCTTATTAGTGTTCTACAAGATCAAACACTTCTTGAATCATTGAATACCTTCCAAATAACTTCCTGAACTCTTCCACCCCTAACTTTCGATTTGACTGGGTTTGAGATCATCGAATAACAAAGATGTTACGGACAAGGGTTCGACCTTCTGGTACTCGCCAAGATTCAAAGGGAAGATAGTGATATTCAGCAGGAGTTATCCAATACAACCCTAAAACTACGAATCAAGCAGAAGGGAGTTGATAGGGAAAATTTACTATGTGACACATCTACGGGTGAGTATCGTTCAATCGTTCTGGGACATAATCGACGCAGCGTTTTTATTACGTAGCACAAACCTGCTCGTCGATGCGTACGAGCAACTATTAAACCCGTAGTGGAACGA